AATACATATTGTGTGGATATTTATCTATACTGGCAGAGCAGAAGGTCAAACATTTGGCTCACAAAAGAATCCATAATTACCCCAATGAATTAGATTTTCTACATCTGTTACAAGTAGCATTCTCCACACTGAGGTAGAGACTGAGGTCCTACAGAAGGGGATGCATCAGGTAAATACCTATAGGAGAAGGAGAACTGATGCTTCTGTGGCCATCCAATAGCCTTGGGGGTGATAAAAGGCATTCATGGCCCTGAGATCCAGGAATGGCTGAAGTCCAATCACTCCTCCAGAACTGAAAAGTATCAGGAGTGGAAAGCGTCATGAAGCTGATACAATGAGACAAACTTTATGTCACCCTTTGCTATGAAGGTCTCTTCTTTCATCCAAAGATGGGGCCATGACTTGGATGGAACTGATAGGACAAAGGGTATCTGCCTCAATCCTATAATGTGACATATTCTTATGCAGATGGAAAGGGAGCCAGATAGTACTGAAGGTAGGGCATTCAGAACAACAAGCAAAAAGCCGGGGTGGTCAAAGATGGCATATGTTATGTAGGCCAGCTTCCTGTAGGGACCACAGAACTTGAAAATATCTTGTTCTCTGGGAACTGTTCAAAGAACTGCCGCCTTCTTCCAGAAGAATTGCTACATCAAGAGTGTTAAGTTTAGTGGAATGGAAAAGTAAATCCAATGGCCCATGGGATCTAGATGCCTGCTTTCCTTATCCATAGGGGAAGGGTGAACACTTAGTGACTTCCCAAGATGCCTCTAACAGAGTTAGGAGATGGATTAGTAAAAAGAACGCATGTGTCCTTCTCTTGTACCCTATACATCAGGGGTCCTCAAACTTTTTCACCAGGGGGCCGGTTGAAAGGTGCCTGTGCTGGGTGCGGGCCGGAAAGGTGGTGCCTGATCATGCGCATGCATCGAGGCAAGGTGAGGCAGGGGTGGGCAAGCGCTGCGAGGTGGGCGCACGAGGCAGCGGATTGCTCGTTTGGAGATTGTTTTCTCCCTGTGCTGCCTCCCTGTGTGCGGGGTGAGGTGGGCAGTGGCGGGCGCGCGTGTGGGTGTGGCAGGTCCAAATGGGCATGGCAGGCCGGATCCAGTCCCCGGGCCGTAGTTTGAGGACCCATACTCTACATATTCCTGTTTTTTCTACATTGGAGCCATAAAGAGGAGGAAGCCTTGCAGGATTTCTTGGATGGTCTGTAGCAAAGTTGGTACAAGTGGGATGTTAACAGGAGCTGATCCAAGCTGATTGTGTATGTGTGAACACAGTGTCAGATATTGCCTCAGACTAGGGGAAGCTATAGTCTCAGACACCAATTTTGACTCAGAGAGAAAAGCTGCAGAGTTAGGCCCAGCTGTGGGAAACAATTCCCACTGCCTAGCAAACAGTGAGGGAGAAGAGGCATGGGAGAATGAGACCTTTCACAACTGGTCCTGTGTCTCAGTCAGGGATGTTGCCCCTTTGAACAGGGCAGCAGCAGCAGGTCTCTGCCGGAGAGGATGTTTCAGGGTGTCTCTTTTAAGTCTGATACTGAAAGAAGAGGCACAGCATAAACATCCCATCAGGCACAGTGCCTGCTTGAGGGTCAGGTTTCTTTGCCAGGATCAAATTACCATGAGTGATCCTTCGCAGGAACTCCACTGTATTTAAACATACACAGCATCCAGTAGCCTCTACAGGAAAGAAGGCACTAAAAACTTGGAAAGCTTTCCACCTTCTTCTGAACCCTGAACTTTATGACTTTCCTTATGAGCTACACTCTGAGTGACTATGATGCTTCTGACATAACATTTACCTGGAACTTCACCATAATCGTTTTCTGTCAATTTTTATTGCATCTGTAAAGGGAAGTAACTAATTACAGGAATTACATCAATAGCTTATTAGGATTCTAGTCCTGCCTAGGTAGCCAATTACAAACCCAAAGGGTCCTTCACCCTTCTAACTACCTGATGCACTTCCAAGCCAAGAGACTAAGACAAATGGAATACCTACTCCCCAAAATGAAACCATGACTTCTGAAGGTGAAGCTGGATCTTGATTGCTCAGTGTTGCAATCAAGGCTTATGCCTTGGAAGTTCTCCATGATCCAGCTCTGTCACTTGAGGCTCAGGTGGCCTCAGTGGCCCACAGAGCCTTCTACCAGTTTCAGTTGGTGGCCCAGCTATGCCTCTATCTGGCCAGGGATAGCTTGGTTTGAGTATTCTATGCTCTCGTAATCTCTAAAGTAGATTCCTACAGTGCAGTGTATGTAGGGCTGCTCTTGAAGATGGTTCAGAAGCTGCCACTTGTGTGGAATGGGATAATTGGGATCTGTAGGTTTGAACAGATAAGCCAGTTCAGGTTCACCTACATTGGCTGCCTGTATGCTTCCAGGCACAATTCAAGGTGCGAGTTTTAACCGATAAAGCCTTACGTAGCTTGGGACCACAATACCTATCAGAGGGCCTCTCCCAATCACAATCTACTTGGACACTATACTCAACCTTTGGGGCTTTCCTCTGAGGCTTGGAGGGTGGCCTTTCTTTGTGGTGGCTCTCCATCTTTCAAAGTATCTTCCCACTGTGGCCAGCCTTGCACCAAACTTGCCATCTTTTCAGCACCAGGTTAAGAACATAAGAACAGAGAACACAAGAAAAGCCCTGCTGGATCAGACCAAAGGTCCATCTAGTCCAGCACTCCACATACACAGTGGCAGTCCAGCTGCTCACAGGATCCTCCAAGCTGCTGCTGCCAAAGCCCCTCAGCAACTGGTGTATGGAGGCATGCTCCCTCTACTAAAGGAGGCAGCACACAGGCAGCAGGCTAGTAGCCTCCCTCATCAATCTGTGAAATCCCTTTCTAAAGCCTGTCAATCTTGGGCTGCCATCCTGCCCCTTCAGCTCGTACTATACCTTTTGGGAGAAGACTGAGCCACAGTAGGAGTTGAGCACTTCTGTCTTTTCTTCGTCATCTGTTATTATTGTTCTGTCCATGGTGAGAAGTTGTACTCCCTTCTCTTTCACCTGCCTTTTGCTTTGGACATATTTATATAAGGGAAGTATGATTTTGGTGATTTTATTTTCTATTCTGTTCCTATTGACGTCTAATATGGAGTCTGCCTTCTTTACAGAAGCTAAGCACTGGACTGACATTTTCATCGAACTGTCATTGAACTACCCCAACGCTGCATTATGCTGCTAAGACAGCCCTTTAGGCTGGAGTCTTTAAAGATCTTTTGGTTACCCAGGGGCCTGAGGGGATTTATCCAGGTGATTCTTTTCTCTTGCAGAGTCAGTTTTTACTATACATTGCTTTAGCTGTTTTAAATTAATTTAAAATTCATTTTAACAATGCTTTGTTTTTATGATATTTGCATTTCATTGTTTTGCTGTATGCACTGTTGTAAACTGCCCAGACAGCTTTTGCTATGGGGTGGTACAGAAATGAAATTAATTATGAATTGGGCAGCAGCAGACATCAAGTCCAGTTAATCACTGTCTGTCCCTGATTGTGGGAACAACCCTGAAAGCCGCCTGAGCTGTACTTCAGCAGGTTGTGTCAACAACTTAGGCACCTGAATTAATGAGGTATCAGAACGTCAGCCAAGTGCAAACTTAAGGAGCACTCAGAGAGCAGTTGTATAGATGAAAGCACAATCTGTATCAGCTGTGGCAGCAGCATGAAGAATGGTGGCACAGACATTATCATCCATACAAGCAATGTCAACCCACAGGTGATTACAGACAAGAGAAGAGGAAGAACACCTTAGCACTTGTAATATGAACAGCAAATCACAACAGAGGTTCCCTAGTGGGTTACCACAGTGGTGGTAAAAAAAGAATTTGAGGGGGTAGGCAGAAACCTGCTGGGAGTATGCACATTGGGATGGTGAGGGAGGATGCCTACCAAGCATTCCTCAAGTATAGACATTTCCTAAATGGAGCACCACATGGGTGCAGACTCGATATGCAAGATGCACAGAGACCATGACCAACCTTGAGCTGAAGCTCGTTCTCCCTACCAGCAAACAACTTGCTAAACTGAGCCACAATGGATTTTAGAGGTCACTGTCACTACCTTGTGATTCCAACATGATCTCAGAATACTTAATTCTTAAGAGGTGTATTAGACAGGCTCCACCAGAAGAATAATGAGGTGGGTATTAAGGATTGACAGGGAACACAGGGAACATTTCCAGTATCCAAAAGCCAGAATAGTTTTTGGAGCCATGTCAAGGATTATGGTCTTCTGGCCATTAGGAAGAATGCCCTGAAGCTGCTTTTCTCAAGTATATTCCTTAGATAAGATGGCCTTTTGCTGTGAGAACCAAGCCTGTTTACTTTACTGAAGCAGCTTTGTTTATCTCCTGTCTCTCAGGAAAGAGGGTTAGAGCTTGGGTGTACTGACAGCCTATAAGCCAGCAGGAGAAAATTCTGAAACATCCATTGCAACAGGCATTGCCTTTTGTTGTTTGGAAAGAGAAACTGACATATCACTCACCTGGCAACCTTGAAATACTTCGACCTATTCAGGGAATCAGTGTGACCACAGATAAGGGGAGTGCAAGTTTTCTTTTGTTTGTTTGTATTCTGTATCTATATTTCATCAGTATATCAATACGCTGTCCTTGACAAAAATGGTTTTGCTTCATCCTGAGTAGTATCTCAAATCTTAAGTAAGTTGCCTTGGCTGGATCAGGCCACTAGAGATTAATACATAAAGTTTGTCTAATATGATTTTAGGGGAGGATTAGAGATGTTCTGCTTTGAAAGTTCACATTCAATAGTGGTTAGATATGGAAGTCCTTACATATAGCTGCAGCTTCTTGTGTGTGTGCATGAGGAACTAAGAAACTGATGGGCTGTGAGATGGGGGGGAATGGAAGTGTACAAGTAATTCTTCAAACATTTTGAGAAAATTTGGTTTAAAAAGAGCACGATATTTTAAATAACTTTTATAAAGATCGCAGAAACTGATTCCTCTTTTCCTTAATAGTATGAACTTACCCTTATCCTCATCCAGTGATTCTTGGGAAAGAATACTGCAAAGAATGGGATTCTTCCATGTACCATTCTCTTGGGCGAGAAGAGATAAAAAATGTAGTTGGCAGCTTCCATTCTGCATCAACTTTGTGTGTGCCATCTGGGAAAAATTACATGCATTATAAAACAGTAATGTTACAAACTTTATTCTTATAACTCCAATGCTACAAGTGCACCAATGCTGGGCATATTTAAGGGACACTGTTTTCACATGCTACCTTTTGGATCTTTAAAATTAGATCTTACCGAGTTAAGAGTTTGAAAAGAGAAAATTTTAATATGGCCACTAGGTTTATTTCATGATTTTGCAAGGTCATTGGGGGGTGGAGGATCACTGAAGTACTAGAAGTTGACAATTTGACATTCGATAGACATTCAAAGCCTTGTTGGGTTTATTAACTGCAGTATTTTTTACCTTCTGAGGTATGGTTAAGCTAAGATTTTAGTTACTCTTCTATGGCAATTAAGAACATTTGATAAGGGTACAATCAATATCCTTCATGCTTGGTGCATGAAAGCCTCTGGTTGCCAGTTGAAGCCCAGGCCTGGTTTAAAGTGCTTTTTTAAATATACAGTGGTACCTTGGCTCACAAACTGACTCTAGTCATGACCCAAATTGGTCATGAGCCAAGTTAAATTTCCCCATAAGGTTCAATGTAAATAAGGTTAATCCGTTCTGTAACCAGTTTAATCAGAAAAATGTGAAGCAAAGTGACAAAGAACAACAAAGATCACGCCCATCTCTCCGTCCCCACCTAAGCACAAGCGCAACCATTTCCAGCATGACTGAGATTGCGCCGGTCATCCCAGTGCACTGTGGTGGAGGAGACGGGCACGATCGCAAGCACACTGGGGGAGAGAGAGACGGGCGCAATCTCGGCCATATCCCCATCCCCACCAAGTGGGGAGATGGCCACAGTTGTGCTGGGGATGGGGAGATGGCCAAGATTGCGCCCGTCTTTCCTGCAGGAAAGCGTCCATTATCACGCACGTCTTCCCTGCATGAATGCAACTGCAATTGTGGCCATCTCCCCACTCGGGGGGGGGGGGGGAGATGGTTGCGATCTTGGTCACCACCCAACACAGAGTTCATGACCCACACCAAAATTTTCATTAAATTTTTGTTTGCAACCCGATTTGGTCATGAACCAAGGCGTTAAACAGTTTGGGACCTGATTACTTGAAGGACCACCTTTTCTAATATACTCTTACCCACCCACCGAAATCTGGAAATGAGGTCCTTATGAAAGAGCCATCCCTACAGGAAAAAAAGGGATGGCAATTAGAAAAAGGGCCTTCTCAGTGGCTGCCCCCAACCTTTAGAATGGGCTTTCTAAATTGGTTCGCCTGGAGCTATTACTACGTTTCGATGTTAGGCAAAAACTGTCCCCTTTCGCTGATATTTCAAGACCTGATTTTAACACCTGATTATGATAGCTTCAATCCAGCAATTTCCCTTCTCTCTTCCCCCTATAACAATACTTGTAATAATTAATTAATTAATTAATTGTAATTGATGTATTTTAATGTGGTTAGCTGCTTAAAGAGCCTTGTAAGGCCAATTCAACAGCATATAAATTTGAAAATAAAGTATGAGTGGCGCTGGCAGTGATCTCTGCCACCTTGCATGTCTTACTGCATATTTAATCTAAACAGCCTTTTTCAGTCATCTACATGAAGCACTGTGAAGAGATGAGAAGAAGCCTGAGGCACTATTTGGAGACAGTATAAGACACTGGCCCAGCCTCTGCCCCTGGAAAGACCCTTTAGCCCTTTCTAAGGCAATGAAATTCTTTCCATGTTGGTTCTGATGGGTTCAGAGTGAAGGCTCTTCATTCTGTGGTCAGAGGACCTCAGCGTTGAGATTCTGTATAATTCTATGGCTTTCCAAACAATGTTTTACCCTTAGGAGTGCAGCTATTAGAACTGTAATTGACGAGTACATAGTTTGCTTTTAAATTAGTGTTGTTTAAAACACTGTTGGGCACTACCCATTTTAGTTATTATCTTACAGCTCTCCCACCCTAGGTCTGCTAGCACATGCAGAAAACTTGAATGAAGAAATCTGTACCAAGGAGAGATTAAAAATTAAGCGCTCAATAGAAGTCTGACTCATAGTTCTGATAAGAATTCACTGTGTATTGGGGAAGAGTACAGAAATCAGAATAAACCTCTGAATGAAACAAGGCAGGATTAAAAACACCCTTCCATTCTGGTACTCTAAAATAAGGATGCCACACACAGTTCTTCTGCTTACTGGATAATCCTATTCCTTCACTAGCTTTTGGCATAAAGCTCTTCAGGTTTCATTCCCATTCAAATTATTTCATTTGTCAAAGAAACAGATGAGATTGTAACTGGGCAGTTAGATGAAATAATGCAAAGAGAAATGACTACTTGACTAGAAAATGAGAAGGAAACTATAATACTTTTTACTCTTTCAAAAATTGTTCATGTTTGAAGCCTGAACCTTAAGGAACTGAAGCTTTTATATAAGCATACACTGCTTTGACGTTACAGATTGTGTTAAACATGAACTAGAGAGTGCAATGTGTGCCTTTAAAAGGCTCTTCAACAGGTGCAGTATTACACGCAACAGTATCTCCTTGTTAGTGCGAGAGCTGCTTTTCTTGAATTCATGCCTATTCCATCTTAAAAATATTTGATGCCTTCTCTATTACCCCAGCCCAATCTCTTAAAATGTGTAGCATCATTTGGACACAATGCTGTGAAAACACTAGAAAAGTAGGATTGAAGTTGCATTTATCGTGTCTTTAAAACATGGCTGGGAAGGCCTTGAGGTATACTTAGGGTCACAACATAATTGAGAGATGGGAATATCTATATCTATGTATATACATTATCTCTAAGGACTAACAGAGCTATCAAATGCTTAATTCATTTCAACAGCAGTCAGAGAGCTGGAATATGGTACACTGATAGTCCAACATACATTGATCATCAATAAGGTCTAAAAATGATTTTTTTTTCTTTTACTCTTTGGCATATAGTTAGGAAGGCTTAGATTTCATTTAAGCCAAATTCTAGTCACAGTCTCATGAAACTGCTGTGTAATCTCCTTATGTGATTTCAATTCACATACAAAACACAGAAATAAGATAAAAATAATAATTGAAAAACTGAAACTATTATAACATCATGGTGAAAAAACCGAGTGGTGTCAGAGCCCCTACATAGTTCTTTGCATTGCTAATAATTTTAGTATCTTCCCCTGCCCTTTCATTTAAGCAGTGCAAGGGTAGTATTTGCAATTGACCAAGTTCATATGCAATAGCTAACTACTGGCTAGGCAAGCTACAGTTACTTGTGGCTCATTGGAGAGCTCATGCTACCTCCCATGCACCAAGCCCTTCTGCTCTCTTTCTGGATCACCAACCAAGCCAGGGGTGCCAGTTCTCTAGGATGCTGAGGAGATGCAACATGGTTTTCACTGAACAAACCTGAACATGGGTTCAAATTCTGGGCTGTTTCTCCTAAACCCAGAATGCCAGGTCTGCATATCATGATTAACGATCCAGGAATAAAACTGGAAGTGACAAGTATATATGCTCAGTCTGGTGTCACCCCAAGTGCCTATGGGATGTTTAGACCACATTTAACCATGATGTCAATGCCTTTACATTCTGGCTAATAATTTAAAAATTCTACATAATATAAAATTTAAATCACTTTAATGTACTTTAATTGTTTCTCTCTCAAATATTTAAGGTCAAATACTGCTTATTTCTTTATTAAATTTGTTTAAAGGCTACCCATTAGCATCATCCAAATACCTGCAGAATATTGGGATAAAAATCACCACACAGTACTTTGTCGTTTACTAAATACAAATAAAATTAATATACTGAATTAAATCACTTTCTAAGGCATTTGAAATTTTGTCAATGTGAATTACCTACAAACAACCTTATTTGCATATGAAAATTTTCTAGAACATATCCAAGTCAAAAATTTTCCAAAAAAGCAACTATGACTCCAAATCTGTGGCATGGCTATGAAACAAAGGCACACACCTGAATAAAGGACTGAAACTCTTTCCATTTATTTTCAGGCAGCTGAGGAGGCAGGCATAGCAAAAGTTCAGCATAGCTTCTGAAAAAGCAAACAAAACTGTGAGGTCAAAAAGAAATATAACTTCTCATTTACTCGAGAAAAAAAAATGACTATTCTTAATTTACAAAGTAACTGAAAGCAAAGCTGGAAAACAAAGATCAAGTACTAATAAAGCTAATAAAAATATACTCACAGGGCTAAGCGTTCAAGCACAAAGGTTACATTTTCACACTCGGAGGTCAGGTAAGGTCGTGCTTTAACATAACTGCGGATGGCTTCTGTGTATACCTCAAGCAAAGGCAAGGGGTCCTCAGATGTTTTCCACTTTTCTGCATATTCAAGAAGTGTCTGTTCAGAAAACACCAACATGGATTACCAAAGTAAACCAAAGCCACATTTCTGTTTCTTCCACTGAAGCCATAAATATAGGATGGAGCACACTCACCCTTATTTTCTTAAAACAACACACACAATCTTAGAATCTTTTGTGCGAACAAGACTTTTTCTCTCCACAGTCATAGCAGAGTGTGTAGGTATATTGAGATGGAATTTTTAGGTGCTACAAATCCTGACCACAAGCTCAAGATGTTATGACACACCAATCTCAAGAATTGCAAAGGTATATATGGAGCTGGGAGATCACATAGCCAAACTGTTGTGCAACAATAATCAATTGTTTAATTAATTTGGGATTCAGTGATAACTGGTTTAAACCCTCTGGTAGAAATTTGAAACACATTATTATTTCTTCTCTTTAATCTCTGTCTGCACTGCTTAAATATCTGCCTATGCATGCTGGAACAGATTTGAAGTCATGCAGGGAGAGGGGGAAGTTCCTTTTGGTTCTGCTGATGGAACTGCTTCGATCACTGGAACAATATAGTTGGATTCAGCCCTTTGGCAGCCAGATTAAATGGTGATAATAGTGATTTATGAGAGGTGCTATACTTCCACCCAGTGGTCATGCAATCCATGCAGCAGTTCCAAGTCAATCACTAGCATCTTCAAGTAAGGATGGAAAAAGTCCCATCAGAAACTCTACAGATTCCCTGACAATCAGTGGGCCAGTCTGCAAAGCATAACATGGTCTACTGCAGTGGTTTTCAGCTACTGGTCCATGGAGATTTCCTGCTGGTCCACGAAAAAGCCCTGATGAGGAAGCCCTTGGGGCAGCACAATGTCCTGTGGAACCAAGTGTCACGGAGGAGCTGCAAAGGGGCAGCCAAGCCTTGCTGAAAAGAGTACGCCACCCTGCAGTCAACCTTGCAGCCAGACCCACGCCATGGCACATGCCACCCCATTGTTCCAATAGCAGACTGTGCTGGCGCTCCGGAATGCCTAGATGGCCATGCCTCGTCAGGCAAGGCAAGACCACAGCCACGCAGCTTGGGGCTACTTGCATGGTGCGCTGAGGGGGCGGGAGTGGTGGCAGCATTCTCAGAGCTGTATATAAGGGCAGCAACTTGCACTCAGCCCGCTTGCTCAGCAATGCTGCTGCCACCAGGGGAACCAAGCTGATCCTAGCAGGAGGTAAGAAAGAGGCCTGATGCCACTCTGGTGTCCAAACATAAAATGCAATCATTGTCATAATTTTGGATATCACTGGAACAAGGACAGCCATCGCTAAGTTACAGAGCTATTAAATTGTTACTCGTATTTTCTAGCATATATTTGTGTGAAAAGAGTTCTTCAGCCTTGTCACTGATAAAAACCAAAGAGAGAAACAGAATGAATGTCAGTGTAGCACTTTGTCTCTGGAAAACAACTATCAAGTATTCTTGAAAAGAAGCAACAGCAGATTTCACATTAGCCTTATCTGAATTAAATACTGCTCTCTAAAAATGTCAGTTGTATTTGATTACATTAATTTCAATATTTTATTTTTATTAGCATTTTAAATGCTTGGTTTCTGGTTATTTTAGGGAATTATCATTTTTGGTATTATACTGAAAAACTAATACACAAAATACTATATCATGTATATAATGCTTTTTATTTCTGCCTCAGTGGTCCTTTCTCTCCCCCCCTCCCCCATATATTCACCAGTCCCCCGCTGTAAAAAGGTTGAAAACCACTGGTCTACTGTAAGGTTATGAAAAGTTGTTTTTCTCTCAAATAACCTCCACCAAGCAAGGTTTGGGGTTGTGTATTTATAATGGTTGTCAACATATGGCACATCTCTGAAGTTAAGTTACTATTGATGGGTTGTCTTGTGAACAATACTGGGCTAGATGGATTAACTTGCTCTGGCTTCATAAAAGACAGTTTCCTGTTTCAGCTTAATTTGGAAGATTGGAAATAACTCTTTTCATAATACTTTTTGTAATAAGCTTTTAAAAGTGATATTTAAAATATGTTGTGGAGATACTGTATAGAATGTAATTTTATATATAAATCATACTTTTTAAAAGTGTCTTTGGACAAGAATTCTTTGTTAGCAGGATTGGCTGAACCAAGCAGCAGAAGCAGTGATGAAGCATCTCAGCCCACAAGCAAGTTAAGCAACAGGGCAAGTAGATGGTAGAAAGTTAAAGGTAAAGGCTTCCCCTTGACATTAAAGTCCAGTCATGCCTGACTCTTGGGGGCGGTGCTCATCTCCATTTCCTAGCCAAGGGAGCCAGCGTTTGTCCGCAGACAGTCTCCGTCGTCTGTGGCCGGCATGGCTAAACACCGAAGTGCACGGAACGCTGTTACCTGCCCACCGAAGTGGTACCTTTTTATCTACTTGCATTTGCATGCTTTTGAACTGCAAGGTTGGCAGGAGCTGGGATGGAGCAATGGGAACTCACCCTGTTGTGCAGACTCGAACCGGCGACCTTTTGATCAACCAGCCCAGCAGCACAGCAGTTTAAACCACTGCACCACCTGGCAAGTGCCAGTTATTGTTCTAGATAATCATCTCGAACTGACAGACAGACAATTAGGGGAAGCCAGGACAAGGGCACAGCAATAAGGCAAAATTCCTAGAAGGGTAACCCTGTACAGACTTCAACTTGGAAACTAAATTCTATTTAGAACTATTGGTGCACTTTATAAATTCCAGAGTAAAAAGTCAGCAGGAACCTCCAGCTCCTACAGCCCACATTTAAACCAAATTATTAACAAACTAAACCTAACCTTAGAAGTTGGGCAAAGTAGAGGAGAGCAACACATATCTCTGTACTCTCTAGAGCAGGGGTCCTCAAACTACAGCCCATGGGCCAGATAGGCCCCGCCAAGGTCATTTACCTGGCCCACCTCAGAGCTTTCAGACTCGTTTGGAGAAAATGATCTCTGAATTAGTCCAAAAGCTCTGAGCCGGTGTAGATGTACTCTGAAACTCTTTCAGTTTCGTGGACTAGCAGAGAGCTGGCGCATGCACGAAACTGTGACAGCTCCATTCAACTGCACGTGCAATGGCTCTCTCTGCTAGCTCTGGCTAGCTCCTGCTGCTGTGCTGGTCTTGCCAGCATGAACTGCACACGCACCGGCTCTTCCCCCTATTGCACACATATGCTGGCTCTGAATACAGAAGAGAGGAGCAAGAATACAGAAGAGAGGAGCGAATATGGAACTGGACATTAACCATCTCATTACCCAAAAGCAGGCCCATACTTCCCATTGAAATACTAAGAAGTTTATGTTGATTAAAATTGTTCATTTTAAATATTGCATTGTTTTTTCCTGGTTTTTTGCACTACAAATAAAATATGTACTGTGTACATAGGAATTTATTTATTTATTTAGAATATTTATATGCTGTCCTGTCGTGAAAGCCTCAGGACAGCTTATATGAATGAAGTACAATAAAATAAAATATAATATGAATAAATAAATTATCGACCCACACTGGCTGCAGTTAAAAACATACAGGACACAATATTAAAACTTATTAAAATGTTGCTGAAATAAAAAGGTCTTAACCTGGTGCCGAAAGACAAATAACAATGGCGCCAGGCGGACCTCTCTGGGGAGCACATTCCATAGGCGGGGTGCCACCGCAGAGAAGGCCCTCCTCCGGGTACTTGCCTCCTAGAGGTTTCGGCAAGGGGCGGCATAGAAATGTTATAATAATAATAATAATAATAATAATAATAATAATAGTAATAATAATGTCTTTCATGGAGGGTTCCCAGAGGAGGGCTTCTGCTGCCAATCTCAGGGAGCGGGAGGGCAAATATGGAAGAAGGCATTCCTTTAGGTATCCAGGTCCCAAGTCGTTAAGAATTAATTCATATATTTTTTCAAACTATAGTCCGGCCCCCCCAACAGTCTGAAGGACAGTGAACTGGCCCCCCATTTTAAAATTTGAGGACCCCTGCTCTAGAGAGACTGCTTGTAAATATCAAGGAAGGTTAGCTTCAGTTTGGACCCTGTGTAGGCTCAGGTTTTTATGGCTACAAATAAGCTCACAAACCAAAGTTCAGAAATAGATCAATCCCAAATTTGATGTAACAAAAGATGGCATTCCCAACCTTACTGATGAAGTCAGTTAGCAAATCACATGATCCAGATGGAATCCATCTTAGACTTCTCAAAGAACCCAAACATGAAATCACAGACCTTTGTTAACCAAAATATTTAGTATGTCCCTAAAAACATCAGTCTTTGTACCAGAGGGCTGAAGAATGGCCAACATAACACCAATTTTTAGAAAATGTTCCAAGGGAATCAAGGTATAATAAAGGCCAGTTTGCTTAACATCTATTCTGGGTAAACAACTAGAAATCCTTATTAAATATAAAATCAGTAACCACACAGAAGGAGAAGACCTGCTGAAAAAGAATCAGGATGGCTTCTACAAGAGAAAGTCCAGTCTCACTAACCTATTGGAGTTCTTTGAGAGTATAAGCATACAGACAGGTGCAATCCAGTAGGCATTGCTTACTTGGACTTCACAAAGGATTTTGACAAAGTCCCTCACTAAAGGCTCCTGAGCAAACCAAGCAGCCATGGAATAAAAAGGGAGATCCCCTATGGATCACTAACTGGTTAAAACACAGAAGACAGAGGATAGGAATAAATGGTAGTTTCTCCCAATAAAGAGATGTAAGCAGTGCAGTCCCATAGGGTTTTGTATCAGGACTAGTTCTTTTCAGCCTATTCATAAATGTTCTGGAATTAGGAGTAAGCAGTGAAGTGGCCAAGTTTGCTGACAACACCAAACTATTTAGGGTGGTTAAAACCAAATGGAATTGTGAGATGCTCCAAAGGGATTTCTCCAAGCTGTGAGAATGGGCATCAAAATGGCAAATACCGTTCAATATAGGCAAATGTAAAGTAATGCATGTTGGGGCAAAAAATCCCAATTTCAAGTAGAGGATTATGGGATCTGAACTGGCAGTGACAAAGCAAGAAAGGGATTTTGG